GGGGCTAGCCTCACACTTCAAGGGTTTGGTGCTCATTTTGGTCTCGGTGCTAAAATAAAAAAGATACACTCACCTTATCCTCAGTCCTACCTGGCTGCTTGACTAGCAGCTGCATCCAAGCCTTACATCACCAAGTGCAATGCAAAGCGTGGGTTGCAGGGGTGTAAAGCAACGCCACTGGACTCTAGAGAAGTGGAGACGTGTTATCTGGAGTGACCAATCACGCTTCTCTGTCTGGCAATCCGATGGGCGTGTCTGGGTTTGGCGGTTGCAAGGAGAACGGTACTTGCCCGACTGCATTGTGCCAAGTGTAAAGTTTGGTGGAGGGGGGATTATGGGGTGGGGTTTTTTTTCCAGGGTTTGGGCTTGGCCCCTTAGTTCCAGAGAAAGGAACTCTTAAGGCATCAGCATACCAAGACATTTTGGACAATTTCATGCTCCCAACTTTGTGGGAGGAGTTTGGGGACAGCCCCTTCCTGTTCCAACATAATTGCGCACCAGTGCACAAAGCAAGGTCCATAAAGACATGGATGGGGGAGTTTGGGGTGGAGGAACTTGAATGGCCTCCACAGAGTCCTGACCTCAACTCCATAGAAGACGTTTGGGATGAATTAGAGCGGAGACTGCGAGCCCGGCCTTCTTGTCCAACATCAGTACCTGACGTCACAAATGGTCCAACATTCCCATAGACACACTCCTAAACCTTGTGGACGCCTTCCCAGAAGAGTTGAAGCTGTTATAGCTGCAAAGGGCGGAGCCAGCTCAATATTGAACCCTACGGGCTAAGACTGGGGTGCCATTAAAGGTCATGTGCGTGTAAAGGCTGGCGTCCCAATACTTCTGGCAATACAGTGTATATAGTGTGTGGAAAAAGTGATATGCTCAGATCACTCGGGACAATTAGTAGCAGCTGGTGTGTTAAACAGGAAATAAAGGAAGACATTGTAGATTCATTATTTAGAATCACTTGGGCACAGTGAGAATGTATTTTACCTTGTCACAGCTACGCTTACTCCCGGGTCTGAGAGGTCCCCCTGAGGATCCTTCAATTACCCAACTTGAGTCACGGTCTCCTCTGTGTGTAAAGGGTTACCAACCATCCCGATGAGGTTATAAAAACCTATCTCTGTAACACATCTCCAGGAGACGACTAAAAGAGATCAGTAAGTACAAGATGCGCAGACACTGAATGACTGCCACACCCAAGCAGTAAGGTGTAGACGAACCCAAGAACACAACTGTAACATATAGCAGCTTATCAGTCTATAGATGTGGGGGCTGTATTAGTTTTCTTTTTTCAGCCCAAGCACTGCAGGAGCAGTGCAGCATTGTTGTCACCCCATCAAAAGAAGCTGCATTGGGTAGACTCTCTACAGATATTTGTGAGTCTTGTGCAGACGGGCAAGGAGGAAACCGTGGGTAAAGATGAATTCATAATTAAGCGCTGCAGCACATATTTGTTTTAATGGGAGACCATCATCCTGTCTTATCAACTTGCTTACTGTCATATTTATGTATTTATTTATTACAGGTATTTCTATAGAGCCAACAAAATACACAGTGCTGTACATAGTTGCACATTCACATCAGTCCCTGCCCTCAAGGAGCTTACAATCTAAGGTCCCTATCTCACATGCATACATAGAGGGCCAATTTGCACAGGTCCAATTAACTTTCCAGCATGTCTTTGGAGTGTGGGAGGAAACCAGAGTACCCTGGAGGAAACCTGCACAGGGAGAACATGCACACTTCTTGTAGATAGTGACCTAGCTGGGATCTGTTTTAAAATGGCGGGTTGGTGGCCGTGGTATACTGGAGTGACATTTTAAAACAGCACTCTGTACAAATAATTGTACAAAAGAGGTTCCCAACACAATACCAAGCTACAACAAATAACAAAAGTCTGTTTAACTAATCGGGTTAAAAAAGAGGTTTTAGTTGCAAACATTTGCAAATACATGTGGAAGCCACACTGCCACATCAAGCCGCCTCTGATAAGCGAAGTCCCTTACTCTCTGAGTTTCCCAACTGTGGGAGATAGATAGCAATGCACTATCAGAGCACAGGCTCACCTGCAGTGAGCTTCATCCTCCTTGAAGTCACAGGTACACACCAGAAGCCCAGGCACCACTTTTACAAGGCAGCGGAAGAGTTCCAGTGTGTGCCATATTCGTCTGTATACTACTTGTGTGCATCCCCAGTGCGTGTGCAATGTCTGTGAATGCACAGAGCCAATCAGAGTGGCTCTATTCCTTGTGATTGGAGCGATTGGCCGATCACAGCGATCACAAATATAAATACTGCTAGTGTTCCAGAGTCCTCCCCTTCCGTTTACAAAGGAGAAAGTATGTATGTTGCGCTTGGTTATTTCAACAATTCATAGTGATATTCAAATCGTGAAAGGTGATTTTAGACGAATAAAATATTAATTTATAAAAAATTATAAATAGTTAAATAATTAAATAAATCAATGTGTGTAGCCTTGGCTCGTCTGTTATTATTCACTCTCTGTTACGTGATGGTAGTGGCACATACGTGGTCTAAGTGACAAATACATCTAATCTCCCACCTGTCTCTGCAGCAACCTGTATATTAAGCCCCTCACCTCTTGTATCCAGCAAATTAACCTCCTCATTCTCCCTTTGCAGGTGCATTAAAGTGGTAAACTCTCCATCTTTTTTTCAGTAATGAATCCAAATCAAACAAATATACGTTACCTAGCAAAGTACTTTTCTAAAGAACAACTCTGGGCATGTAAAGAAATTACCCATTGCAGTGGGGCTACCCCGGCACTGCAAGGGTTAAATGCTTCTTTTGGTCTAGAGCAGGGGTGTCAAACTCAATTTAATCGTGGGCCGCTTCAACATTATGGTTGCCCTCAAAGGTATCTGTAAGACTATATAAATGTATCTAATCTTTATCATAATTGCCTCTGCATTCCATTATCACTGGTTTTAGTAATAACTTAATACCTAGATCTGAAAGTAGAAGTCTAGGAAATGGCCTGGTGGGACGGATTCGGCCCCTGGGCCTTGAGTTTGACACATGTGGTCTAGAGGCTAAAATAACTCAGATATACTCACCTGATGCTTGGTTCCACTTGGCTGCTTGCCCAGTTCCTGGAGACTCTTTTGCCCTGGGCTCTGGCAGTCTAAGCCCTTCTGATGTCATCATGTCCAATGCAGTCCATTGACTTGCTGTCACTTAAGTCTTACAAGCATTTCTTCCTAAACAAAATAACACAGATATACTCGCCCGATTCACTGCCCAGCCTGGCTGCTAGACCCATCCCTGAAGACTCTTCTGCCCTGGGCTCTGGCAGTCTAAGCCCTTCTGAGGTCCTCATGTCCAATGCAGTCCATTGACTGATTGCTGTCACCTAAGTCTTACAAGCATTTCTTCCTAAGCTTTTGGTGAAGCTGAGCTCCTGGTTTGTTGCCTTTACCTAAGCAGTATATTTCTTCCCCTTTGGCAGGTTTTTTTTATTTATTGTTTTTTTTCAACATTTTTGAGGTTTGGATGGCTGTAGATTTTACCTTTGTAGTAGACATCAAAACAATCTGGCACCAACAATCATTCTACAATCCAAGCTGCCTAGCCTACATATCTTCCCCATTTCACTACTCGATCAAACGGCTGCTGAACCTCTTGACTATGCCTGCTTTATATACTGATTTGCAGCCATAGGACTTTATAACATTATACCGCTATTTCAAAATAAGACAATTGTAGCCATAGAATTCATTACTTGACTAGATGGTCAACGAGTGTACACCGGCTGGCCTATGTTATAGGACAATACATCTACTACAGTACTTTATCTTGTACTTTCTTCTTGCATTTATGTTTGTACAACAAGTCTAGTTATGTGAGAATGCCATTGAAGAATTGAGTCCAATTTTTTCCACAGATGTTGCCAAAAAGCGTAAAGCAAGATGGACATTTTGTATACGGCTATCTGGAAGTTGACTCTGATTCACCTCATACTGGCATTGTACTTCCATGACAACAGATGCAAACTGGAAATGTCAGAGATGAAGGGGACAACACGAATGGGAGATATCATGGTTGGCTTCATTATACCGCTGTATCTGGACAAGGTCTACGAACAAGTCTCCTTTACAGAGAGGCCACCAAAAACCACCTGTGCTCTGTAGGTGGAGTATTACTTTATACTGTTCATGAATGTCTTGAGTATAGTTTGGATACTGTATGTCTAAGGAAAAAGATATGTAGGGGTCTTCCAGGCATTGCCCAAATTGTTGGAAAAGTTCTTGGAATGGAACAACGGATGGAAATACTGTATGTCTCACCAGCCATCATTTTTGGTGAGGTATATGTTCATCTATGGCTTGCTTAGGCTTGACTACAGAGCTCTTATGGTTCAAAATAAAATTTCCAATACAATCACTACCCACTACTAAACTAACTTTTTATGTAGGGCTACATGGAAATAAATGGTAGGATCTCAACCATAATGGGGTTGATTTACTAAAGGGAAATAGGCTGTTCACTGTGCAAAGGGATTTGCACTTTGCAAATGAATTTTCCCTTAGCTTAGTCAATGTGGTGAACATTCACATTGTGAAGAGTACCCAATCAAGTTTTTTTTCTTGCACAAGATTGGATGACGGAAGTCAGCAGAGCTTCACGTCATTCACTAAGCCAAGTTTACAAAGTGAACAACCTATTTGCCCTTAGTAAATTAACCCCAATGACTTTGAAGTGCCAGAACTATTGCTACCAAGGAAATACTGTATCTGCTGCCTGTGTCCAGGGCCGGATTTCCCACAAGGCCAACCGAGGCCTGGCCTCGGGGCAGCAGGGAGTAGAGGGGCAGCAGGGGTCTGGAATTCCGATCTCCCGACGGCCAGGACATGCAGTTCCGGGCGCTGGGCAGGTAGTTGTTTTCTACTGTACATTTAGCCCTGCTTTGGGCAAGCAGAGCTAAACGTACAGCGGGGGAAGCCACCGCTTGTTTTGTACAAAAGTGATCTCAGCGATGTTGATGAGATCACTTGTATGCAGCCTGCATACAGGGGGGGCATTGGGGAACCTGGCATTGGGGCAGCAAAGAGAGTAAATCCGGCCCTGCCTGTCTAACTACTTTGTGGTGTGGTCCTTCACAGTCAGGATCTGTGGTGATTTATCTAGGCAGGCACACATTTTGAATAAAAGGAATGCTTGTTTGCAAATATAGGGTTATGTATATTCTGGTGGGGAACTGCCCCTTCTGTGCACTCTGGCTTTAAAGCCCTTCAATGCCCCAGTTGAATCATTGCTCAGGCCTCTGCTCTTACACATAACATGGCGTGAGTCTTCTGAGGTCTGATATGTTACCTGCACAGTGATCCAATTACCAGTGTTCACCCTTCTTAAGCAGCACTATTGACTGGAATACTGTAAGGGAGGATTTCTGGCCTCCTAAAGACCCATGCCACTGCATTGTGTGTAAGAGCAGTAGTCCAGATCTCCAGCATTCAACCAACATAGCAAGCAAAGAAAAAACACAAATATGTATGACTATTTATTACTTTATATGTAACCTGACTGTATTATAGTAATAAATATAGAAATATTAATTGGACTTTCAGATAAAGCAATTGGGGAACCAAATCAATAGCCATTGGGCAACAATGCCATTCCAATGAATGGACATAAGCACACCTATCCTGACTCAGTTTCATTGGTCCAGTTTGTAAATTGATTAATGTGCTTCAACTCACCCACTCTGGGGTCTCTACACATATTGTAGTTCATGTTCATCAATAAGAATTTTTCTTAATATTATTTTCTTTCCTTTTTGTCCCTTTTGAAGGTTTCACTTTGAAAATTATCAGCAGCTCCAAGCTCTAATATTTGCCGTGAATGAGATCAATGAGAATCCCAATCTTCTTTCAAATGTTACCTTGGGGTTCCAGGCCTATGACTCCTGCAGTGATCTCCATCTGGCTTTAAAGGGTAGTCTACAGGTGCTTACTGGACAGAGTCAAGCCATCCCAAACTATCGATGTCCTAATGACGTGCCCCTAAGTTCTATTATTGGTGCATCAGTTTCCACACAATCAATTGCCATGGCTCACATTTTGGGGCTCTATAGATACCCCCAGGTAAAGATTCCTAAGTTGTTCTTATAAAGTTGATTTACTTCACAGGAAAGGTTCATTATCTCTGTTAAACTCATATTATAACACGAGGACAAGCTTGATGGTTTAGTGGTTGTACTATGGCCTTTGCAGAATTAAAGAAGACCAGCATGAAAAATCAAGGTCCACTTATCTTGCAGCCCCCACCCCATTGAAAAAAAAGTTAAAGATGAATGAAACAATAAAACCTTGGAGAAAAAAATGTAAAAAATACCTTCCACCGGGATTTCAGCTGGTTCCTGTAGACAATGCTGTTGTCACTGGGCCTTCTCACCATCTCCTGGAAATCTGCAGAACCAGAATATCATAAGACATTATTGCAGGATTGTGATGAAATGCTTTCCTGAGGTATTTGGGAGCCTCAGCTTTTCCAGCAACCCTCAATAAAACTCACTGATGTCACCAGCACCTACGTGAACCAGCTGGAAGCCAGGAGTTATAGTAAATATTAGGGATGCACCAATACTGGTTTTTCGGTTTCGAGTACGAATACTTTTTTTTTTACGGTACTCGCCGATACCGAATACCGATACCGGAAGTCCCATTCAGGGAGCCGGGCAGTGTGTAATGACTCACCACCCGGCTTCCTGATTACATGGGAAGCCAGCTGCACGCTCCTTCGTCAACCAGGTGCAGAGGAAGCATGGAGCCAGCTTCCTGGCCATTCAGGAGGCTGTGGGGCAGGTAATGACTCGCTGCCCGGCTTCCTGATTGGCAGGGAAGCCAGCAACATGCTCCCTGCTGATGAGGCAGTATGTAGCCGGCTTCCCGGCCAATCAGGAAGCTATCAGTGTGTAATGACTCGCCGTCTGGCTTCCTGATACCGGAAGTTCTGGTATCGGAGTAAGCATCGGGAGTATTTGGGTGAGTACGAGAACTCGTCCAAACACTCGGTATGTGCGTCTCCCTCCTGTCTCTCATTGCATCTTATGTATTCAGTTTCTCCATGTGTATCATGAGTTACTCTTTCCTCCTGTGTCCTCTGTGCTTTGCCCGCTGTGTTGTCCTGCTCAGCTTCCCTGTAGACCTTTTCGGTGTTGTGCATCTTGAGTATTCCATTTCTAGTGTTTGTTCTGTGTTCTATGCAAATGCACTATCCCTTGCCACTGTGTCCTGTGTCTCAGGGCTGTTCTGCACAGTTTTGGTAGCGGGTCTGCACAGGTGTTTAAGAGAGCCTCACCCTGGAAGCTGTCCTCACAGCACAACATCCTCACCATCAGGGGCTCTGGAGAAGACTAGGCGCTTCTGCACCTCTTTCACACCCACATCCACGTGCAATCATCCTATCCCACGTTCTCTACATCTAGAGATTTAAGTGGACCTACAGTTCCTGTGACCCTGACGACCCTGACTGCTCTGTAAGTCAGGGAATTAGTACCCTCAAAGCTATTGGTTTCCAGACATGACAAATGGTTTACAAATAATTATAGAGTAATATAACACAGCAGTTTCTAAATGTGTAAATCCCCCCAAAAAGAAAAATACCAAAAAACATTATTATATTCTTTAAATTGCCGTGTTGTCTAAACACTAACAGGGCTAGTCACTAGAGGGTGAAGAGTTTGAAGAAGTGAACAATGTAGGCCATTTGGAAAAATTCTCCAATTCAGCTTACTTTCCAGTTCAGCTATGTTGTCCTAGATTGTTCACTTCTCCTCCCTTCTCCAAACTCTTCACCCTTTTGTGAATAGATCTGTAAATAAACCAAATTAAAATTCTATCTTTTGTACAGGTAAGCCATTTTTCAACAAGTCCTCTTCTGAGTGACCGGACCAAGTTTCCATCCTTTTTCAGGACTGTGCCCAGTGACATGTTCCAGTCTAAAGGTTTGTCGGAGCTGGTGCTCCACTTTGGTTGGACATGGGTCGGTTTGTTGGCTTTGGATAATGACTATGGACAGCAGGGAATTCAACTGGTGAGAAAGGAAATTGTCCAGGCAGGAGCATGTGTGGCCTTCATGAAAAGCATTCAAACAGATAGACCAGATCGTAACGCTCCGGGCATAGTTGCGGACATGAAAAAATCCACTGCCAAAGTTATTGTTGCATTTTCAGATGCTATTAACTTACTTCCCATTCTGGATGAAATGCTAATACAGAATGTCACTGACAAAATCTTTGTAGCCAGCGAAGCATGGTCCACCTCCAGCCTTTTCTCCCCGCATCCATATTCAAACCTACTTTCTGGGACTGTTGGGATAGCCCTTTACAGTGGAACCATGCCTGGATTTAAGGAATTTCTCAACAAGAACCGCCCCTCCACGGATCTGAGAGACTATTGGGTAAAGGATTTTTGGGAGAAAGTATTTGACTGCAAATTCATGGATCAGAAGAACGTGACAGATTCTTTGGTCACCCTGACAAATAAATGTTCAGGAAATGAAAATCTGGAGGATATTCACAATAGTTACAATGATGTCTCCAGCCTACGAGTAACCTACAATGTCTATACTGCCATCCATGTTATTGTCAGAGCCTTGGAGGATCTCAGAGGCTGCAGTGCAGCAACAGGACCGTTCTCTCATAGCATATGTGAAGATGCTAGGAAGTTCAAACCATGGCAGGTATTGTGTACCAGACTCTCAATAAGAGTTGACCTTCTAATCCATAGGTGACTAGCTTGTCTTTAAAGCCCAGCTCTGGACACCTCTCCCCTAGCCTCTACAGCTCCTCACCACTGTTTCCCCATAATGGACCCCTGCAAGTATGCTATTCTAGTTTAATGTTTTACATACCCTTTCCAAAGACCTGAGACCATTCACAAGATGCTGTAGATTCTTATTCTTCATTGCCTCTTGCCTAGGCTGGGTCGTCCTTAATCATGCAGAGAATGTTACTGACAAGATTACATCAGTGTCACTTTCTACACTATTACAAAGTAAATAAAGACCTGCATGGCAATGCCCCCCCCCCCCCCCCCCCCGGGGGAGGAGC